GCAAGGCTAGGAATGTGTTTCTTATGGCATAATTGTGACCTCACGCGAAAACGTTTCTAACGGTAGCCGTTTGAACAGTGAACGGAGCGGCAAGCGAACGGGTGATGAACGGCTAGGAAAGCCGTTCGAAACAGATACTGTGAATGGATGAACGGCTAACTAAAATTTTCGAACAGATGAGGTCAAACGGATGAATGGCTAGTGAAAATTTTCGAATAGATAAGGTCGAACAAATGAACGGCTAATTAAAATTTTCAAACGGATGAGGTCGAATGGATGAACGGCTAATTAAAATTTTCGAACAGATTAGGTTGAATGGATGAACGGCTAATGAAAATTATCGAATGGATGAACGGCTAACTTTTCGAACACTGAGACCAAATGGATAAACGGCTAAGCGGTCGAACAAGTGAGCGCCTGTAGAAATTATTTGAACAGATGGTTTCGTGAAAACGAATGCCGACACAGGTGTCCCAAGCTCTCCTCTTGAGCCAAAGCAAAGGATTATTTCATGAAAGCGTCACGTGTTGGATGATGCAGTGTTAAGTTACGCGAGGTATTTGACACAATCTGTGAAGAGATCACTTGAAACGAGTCAAAACTCGATCGTTTGAATAACTTGACTTCGCTTTCGGTGCATTCAAATGGATTATAATTAATATTTTTACTATTGAATTCGACTGATTAAGATAAGGTACAACCAAGGAACTTGCACACGAAAAGCATAGAATGCAATACTTCTAAACTTCAATTCAGGTTCAAATTTCCATAATCCCAGCTTCCCTGTCTGTCCATCAAGAATGCATTGCCTTGGTAACTGCTAACAACTTGTGTCAATTACCACCATTTCACACAATCACAAAATGGAGAATTAAACGAGAGAAGATATGGATTGCGATCACACCAAAAATGTTTCTACCATCGTTGCCAAAGTGCCAAGTGAACAGCTGATGAATTTTCTCTAACTGATAGCTCGAATCATTCGAACGTATGATGAATATTCAAGAACGGATAGCTGGAGGCGTTTGAACGGATTATGAATATTCAAGAATGGATAGCTAGAGGCGTTCAAACGGATGACGAAGTTTCTGAAACGAATAGCTCGAATGGTTCGAACGGATGATGAATATTCAAGAACGGATTGCTAGAGGCATTCAAACGGCATGCCAATCCATTCGAATGGCTGATGAACAGCTAGTGAACGGCTATTCGTTTAAAAACGGCTAACCATTTTGAACATTTTCCTGTGAGAGGTCACAATTATCTATAGTTTTTAAAATAATAAAGTATATGAACTTACCTCATCTGTTTTCTGTAGTTCTTTATGCTTGTTTAGGTGAAACAACTTGTTAGGGACAGTTTGCCCCTCCGATCCCCCTTGTGCGGATCACGTGATTTTTGCTACCATGTGCTCAAACAATTGTGTTGTGTGCCTCTACAGGCGAAAGTTTGTTTCTTCGGTCATCTTTTACCCTTTGATGTTGACGTTTTATTTAAGCCTGGAGATACCCAAAAATATGCGAGTTGTCGCTTTTGTACTGTTATTTTTTTTGTAATTCAATATTTACTTCAGTTTCGAGTCTCTAGCTTTCTGCTTTATATAATTTACAGCTGTACCGACTAACAGAAGATTGCGTACCAGATTAAAAACGTCTTCAGTGCACAATTTTGTCTGTGATTGTCTTCAACACAACTATACCTATAGTGTAGTGAGCTGGGGGAACCTGTGGAATGTCTTACACGAAAAAGAACCATTACAACTTTGCTTCACTGAGCTGCGAAAAAAGGTAGTCTTATTTCTATGCCAAAACTTGATCATAAGATGTTACATGACTATTTTGGTGGGAAATTTATGGCGATCTGATTTTTTTCACATTCGGTCCAGGTTTTGTCAATCTGACACAATCTGATCCAGGTTGTTGTTAATCCGGTCTGATCCAGTCCCGGTTTTTGTCAATCCAATCCAATCCAATCCGGTCCTNAACTTTTAATCAAGGTCCAGTGTTTCTGTGAGAAAACACCCTAAAATGTATTCCTACCCTGATAGGCATCTTCATGAGCATCTCCTCAGCACCTTGGATGAGGACTTTCCAAGGTGCATGGATCTTGATAAAAGCAGTCTTTCCATTACTTGAAGTCTTTAACAATAATTATAATAAAAAAGTGAATACTGTGTCTTTCTGTCAGAAATAATCAAAAGTGCTAAACACACATGTACATTTACTGTAACATTAAGATATTATCATATTAGATGTATCAGTACATAGTATCGCTGAGCATCATTTTTAAAAAGTTGTACTGCATTTTGATGAGCCTGTGGGACAAGTCAAAATACAAACAACAAGAAGAAATACTCAGTGAAAGTACACACCAAATTTGGAAAGAGTTGTTTATTATCCAACTGCTTTTAATTACTTTATAGGTTGGGAAAAGAGAAGCCAGTAGAAGAGATGGTGGTGACAGGTCTTGCATGACACTCTTGTTGGATGACAGTACAAATAAACAGTCAAACAATATCATGGAATATTTGCACTTGATTCACTTCTGCATTAGGTTATCAATTTCTGTAAACTTAATTTTGACTAATTGCAAGATCATTTTCATCTCAAATTTGTAGAGGATAAAAAAGTTTTGGACAATTAGAAAATTACAGCTAAAAGCATCACTCCCACTTATAACCACAGATAATAAGAACTTGATATGCATTCTTGATAGCTTCTTTAACATTACGGGAAGTATTTTTAAACATATTTTATTCTAATTTAAAATTAAGTCGCAGTCACTGAGTATTCTTTTTTCCAGGCAGTAACTGGTAAAGTTTACCTCCTGAGTAACCTGTCAAAAAAATCGCTTAGAATGTTTGAAAATTCAATATAAGAAAGACAATGCACTGCAGTGACATGTCTCTATCTATAAATTGATAAACTTTCCTGGCTTTAACAAGTATTGACTTTACTTGATTGTACTATCTTTGACCTTTAAATCCTTAAGAGCTGAGAAATAATTTGGAAAACATATAGATTCATTGAAATGTTGTGAATTAGTTTACAAAAGTTATGTACCTCAATGCCTTCTGCTTCCAAAATTAAATTAGCCCTTTCCAAATTTTGCTCAAATGTAAGGCGCTTCTCTTCTCTTTTTTGTTGCCACTCCCTGTCTTTGGTAGTATCAATTTCATATGCCAGAATGTAATCTATGAGATAAATTTGAAAAAATGCAATTGTTATTTAATTAAAAGACAAGCAATCTTTGAATGTCGATCAAAAAATTGTGTAACTATGAACATTTCATACGACCATGGTGAACAATAATTTAAAGGTCAGTGGGCTGAATTTAAAGGTCAGTGACATAATTATGTGTACTAAGGTGAGTGAGTGACACATTTGTCCCACAAAAACACTTCTTTTACGTTACTCAATCCTAGAAATAGCACACACAAAAGTCATGATCAAATCTTATAAAAATTAACAGTTACTGTGCTATAATATTCAAACTGCACTCTATAATTTTATATTGCACGTCCGTCAAAATATTAACTGCTATAATTGCACTGACACCAAGAATAGCCTTAAGATGAATGCAAAGTGTTTATAGTTGAAGGAACTGTTTAAGGTACATAATTAATTTTTATTACATGACTCGGGCAGTCAAAGGGCCATTAACTAAAATCAACCAATCAAAATGCTCCATTGTCAGTCAATATTCTCTCAGTACTGGACCGGGCACTGTCCCAAATGGTCCCAAATGATACTGCACTTGCGTCCCTTTGAACTTAAATCAGTCATATAATAAATCTCTTACTAACCAAGCTTGCTCGGGACCGTACTGAAAGAATATCGGCCCTTCGTCTTTTTTGTACGGACCTCACTGCACTCGGTCTGTACTGTCAAGACCTCGGGCCGATATTTCTCCCAGTACAGCCCTCGCGCTTAGTAAATAAGATATATAGAGCACACTATACACTTACCAACTCGTCTCTTCCCATCCTTAAAGAACAGCGTATCAGAATCCTTTCCTCTCTAGAAAAACAATAACAAGAAAACACTGACATCTTCCTTTAATCTGAAATCTTGCATCTGAGGTTATTAACTATACAATATTCTATAATTTGGTTATCCAATATCCAGTAGCATAAATCTTACACTGATATGCTTATTTCAGTAAAAGCCACTTTGACAAATATATTTATTGAAGAAATCAGAGAAAAATACAATAAGGCAACCAAGACTCTACATTCTAGAGAGCTTGTTGCAATACAGTGAACATTTACTTGGTGATAATTTTAAAACTTGAAATTCAGAGCAAATTATAAAATTCAACAGATAAAAACGATCATTCAAACCTTTAAATTTTAGAGTCAAGTTAAATGATCTTCAACAATCTAAAATAATTTACACAAAAGAACCTTATGTGTACATAAATTACACACTATCAGTAAGATATCATTCTGAGAATGAGGATCAGATCTCAGATTAGCTAACAGAAAAAAAAAGCTTACAGTTCTTGCTACATTAAAAGTCATGGATTTTCCCATCTGGTTTTCACATGCCATGAATTCACCAGAATTCATCTGAAGTCGAACAGACCCAAAAAATGAATTAGGAACTTACAATCTTTTTCATCGTATCTATAAAAGAAAATTCTACCTGAAATCTGTTTGAATGCACAGTCTACATCTACATGTATACAAAAAAGATAACAATCCTAAAATAAATTTGTACAGGGTATATTATACCCATCAAAGAGCCTTAAAATAAAAGAACATTTCTAAGGCCTTTTTTTCACTATTGTTAAACACCTTGCCGACGTATCATTCATCACAATCGCAAAAACCAAACACAGATCCTTTTAAATTTGAATAACAAAGCATTGGGAAAGATTGCAATGACAATCTCCTAAATAGCTTGCTTGTAAACAGATGTTCTCAATACCACATTGTGAAATATGATGTATCATTGAATTGGATGTTGTTGAAAACTCTTTAACTCAGTCTTTCACTCCCAAAATCTCATTTATTTAGTAATTCTCCTTACTGTCTGCCATACAATTCTTAACGTGTCAGTTTGGAGAATTTGGTATTGGATCAACTAAACATCTCCTTGATGATATTTTTCTGTATTCTCAACACTTGTCTGCCTGTATTGATATTGTAAGGAGAAATTCCGTCTTGGTCACTCATGGCAATTAATGAAAGGGTTAGTTTACCAACTCCTATAAACAACACTGCCTGAAATTGTTATTCATGAGGTTAACATACATAGTAGACATGTTGCAAATTTAAAGCCAGTGATGATCCATCTAGTTCCTTCTAATTCCTTTTACTGATACGCATGAATTCACACAATCACCGGTCATATACATTACTCAAACATAAATAACAGTATAACACATTGATCTATTTGCTTCTGTTGTTTTTTTTGTTTTGTGTTTGTTTGTTTCTTTAACTGATACCTAAATTTAAACATCATGTTATAGAAAAGAAATGTTGAACAACACAGAGACACCTGTGTGCAAGGTATTATATATGCTTATTAAGAAGACAAAGAAATCTCACAAACACAAGCAAGTTAAGCTCAAAGACAGTAGGGAACAGCCTTGTAGTTGTAACTGAAATTAATCAAAAGTAACTCACAAACAAAACTGATGGACAGACCGCTTTATCAGTCAATGAAGTAGATGTAGGAGTTTTTTAAAACTTATTAGGCACCTCAAAAGACAAAATACATATCCCAGAAATTCCTGTGTATTAAAGTACAGGACACGTTCACGGGCATTTATCATCACATGAAATCATAAGCCTGTTTAGAAATATGAACAACCCGCTTGCCTCACTAATCTAAAAAGAAGGGTTAAGATTGTTTATCACCGAACCACTTAATATTTGCATATTGGTCACAATTTTTCGACAAGGAATCAAATTAAAAGAAATACAATACCACGCAGTTCATCAGATTATCAATTCACCTGTGTTAAAAACCATCGCGATCCTCCTGTTATGCTACGTTGTTGTCTGTGACAATATTAAGTTGTCAAAAACTGTTACAGAAATAAAACACTGGAAAGAGCATTATGCATGTTGCACGGCACTTGCTTCATTTTCTCCCCGAGTTGAAAATCGGAGTTGTGGTCGGATTTCAAAAAAGTAAATCAAACAAATATGAAATTCCAAGCCCCTCGCAGAAGATTGCTGCTAGGCTCAGCGAATATAATACAGGGCCGCTTTTGGAGATACTTGTTAAAAAAAAGGCTCCGCGACTTAAGTGCTTCTTAAGAATCAAAAGTACAGCAGCTGTACACTGATCAACTCTTTAGAATAATTATTAGACAAGTCGATCCAGTAGGCGCGCTCAAAAGAATTTAAGGTCGAGACGCAGAAAACACCTGTGGCTCGATGACGAAAAATATCTTTAAAAGTTTAAACGAAAAAAAAAAAGGCCAAACACAGTGCATTAGTCCTACAAAGCCGCATTCACAATTTCACAAAGCAATAATAAGCTACCATAGAATATTATGAACTAACCTCTACATCTGACGTTAACGGTACGCGATGGGAGTCTTTCTCGAGTGGCCGGTTGTAATCTGGCGGAGGTACAGGACTCTCCCTGGACTTTTCAAGGATTTTGACACCTGAAGCTGTAGCTGTTTCAGGATCTTGGTGTTTAGAAATCCCCTCAAAGCCGACGGGTGGAAGGTTATCGGAATCGCTATCACCGTGATGATGGTAAGATGGGGTAGAGGGATTTGGGTAGCTTGCGTACTCATTTGTGGGACGATAGATGTCGTGTGACGGTGGATTTGGATAGCCAGGTCCGTTATCATAAAGCGGATAGCCTGGCTGTTGGTGCATTTCTAATCCTATGGGCTGAACGCTAGGCTGAAAGCCTGCATAAGGTCCAGGCGGTGCTTCGTAACCCGCCATCTTGTTTGTTGTCTGTTTACTTTCGGCACAGCCATTCGGAGATCATCGGAACTTATCGGAAATACACGAAATAATTACTGGGGCATGCTATGCTCACGAGGGAATTCCGCGAAAACCGATATCGCCCCATGCAATTTATCGTGAGTCAGAAAATTGGATTTTCGTTGAAATCGTATGACTGAATGGAAATAAGAAAAAAAGAAAACAGCAATACAAGGTGATGAGTGCGATATCGTGACAAGGATTCTCGTGCGAACCGGAAATATAAAAATACAATAACAAAACACGCCTTGACTTCACAACTTGCTAAAAGGAATTCTTTAAAAAGGCTGGTTTTCACTTGCGACGGAGTCGTAGTCGGAGTCGTAATCAGAAGGGTGGAGCGATACGTTCTAGTGAAAATCAAACCGACGGAGTCGAAAGCAGAACACCGATTCCGCCTATGACTCCGTCGCTTACGATCTAGTGAAAACTGCATCGTCGGAGTCGGAAGCGGAAGCGGAAGAAGTCAAAGCAAATTATGCAAAAAATCTAGAAAGATTTAAGCTTAAATCTCGTTTATCGTTTAAAGCGAAATATCAATGACTGCAACCATCGTGTGGTATACAAACCTCGCAAACTTTAAAACACGTTCTCTGGTGATACCTGCGAAAGTATTCAGTATAATTTCCGGTAAGATTTTCGCGGACAATCTGATCGATTTCTCTTACGTTGTGTGCCGAGACTAAAACTTTTCACTTCAAGCAAATCTCTGTCGCACGGTCCAAACAAACGTAGCGAGCAACTGGGCTACTAGTATATGTCCGTGTTAAAACACACGAGAGGACTCTAAAGCACACTTCACTCTGATTGGGCAGAAAAACACAAAGATTTTCTGGCACCAATCAGATGGCAGAACAACTGCGACCGTTTGGAACTAGTCTTGTAAGGCAATGTCCCCAGGGGCTCTTCATGCCCTAGCTTGAAATCGACTCAGCCCCTGGGTCTCCGAGGATGGCATTGTCTCTGCCTGCGCAAAATAATGATTAATAAGAGCCAAAGTTGCTCTTCGTCTGCCACGTTGTCTTTGACGTCAAAATTTGTACTTTCGCGGGCCTGAAATCGAGCATTGTGATTGATTCATTCTTCCGCTTCCGCTTCCGACTCCAACTCCGACAATGCAGTTTTCACTAGATCGTAAGCGACGGAGTCATAAGCGGAATCGGAAGAAAATGGGAACGTTCTGATTCTTCCGACTCCAATTCCGTCCAGCTTATGACTCCGCTTACGACTCCGTTTTTCGATTTTCACTGGCTCATAAGCGCTCTTACGACTCCAACTCCGTCGCTAATGAAAACCAGGCTTTAGAGAGACTGTAATTAGTATGTATTCCCAAAAGTACATTTTAATCTGGAAACACACCTTTATTGGCTGGGGTGTAAAGTAAAAGAAAACGAAAAAAAAAAAAAAGGAAGTAAAAACGACCTTGGGACATAGTTATACCGAGAGTGCAAAATTGATCACAAACAAGTAAAAGCCAGTTTTAACTCTCAGTTTCTGTTACCTATTACGTTATTATTGACCTTTTTCTAGGAGTAGAATTTTTTATTTTGATACAGTAAACAGTGTTTACTGTATCAAAATAACGGGAACCATTGTTCACTTTTACTGCTAAATAATGTATCAAATACATCCACTTCTTGTTGTACCTGTAATCTTTTTTATTGTTAGTCAGCAATAAAATGATAAATAAATAAAACAAATAAGTAAACCCCCATCATCCCAAATGGTCAGAGGACATCATTGAATGCACAGGTAATCGGGAGTATGATTATTTGGTGTATTGGAAGAAATGATGAATTCGAAACCAATAAGATGTAAAATGTTTCCTGACACACTCACATTCTTACGACAAGAAAGGTCCTAGATATTCAGTATGAAATCCATTCAATGAAACAATGGGCAAAAAAAGGGCACTCTGCTAAATTTTGAAAGAGAGGTTTGACTTACTAGAGGTAAAACTATTAACAACATTGCCCAAAAGAAAAAATATCTCCTTGAATTGCCACATTTAAGAGTTCCTATCTTTGATTTAAGTTGACAAAGATAATGCAAAGATTGGGTTGAGCAAACCCAAAGGAAATTAATTTTGGTTCAATTTAGGATGAGAGCTGTAGTGCCACAGTTGTGAATCACCAGGATTAAGCCCTACTACAAATCTTTGAACACAAGATCAGGAACCATAAAACCCTGTGAAAAGTGCATCAATGTAAAGGGGTTCATTTAAATAGACAGCCCAATGTCCATCACCATAGTCACGTGCTACACCCTTGGTGAGTGCATACTCCAGGTAATCCTGATTGGCCTGCATTTCCAGCCTGACAAGCTCACTCATGTCATGTTGCCCTTGGACTGGCCTTGTGTCTCTCTGTAGGGAGAGAGTGATGTGGGCTGTGTCTCCAACACCCACTGCTGGTTTGATTGCCAGGTTGGCATATGAAATAGGAACAAAGGAAGAATCTACAGTTTCAGACACACAGGCTGTAGCTTCCTGAAAAAAGAAAAAGAAAGTACTCTTTACGGCAGGCCTAGCCCATTTATAGAGCACAAAACTACAGGCACATTTTTGGTTGTCTTCACACTCTATAGAGTTTCTATTTACAATAAGTACAAGCAGACACCTCTTTGAGAGTAGACTTAGCCATGGTACTATCAATAGTGACAAACATCATGTCTGTGTTAATTATCTGCCTCATACTTTGTCTTTGGCATATAACTCCGACCTCAGTATTGATAATTCATGATATCATGCACAACCTCATCCAATAATTGCATATTGAAATCTTGGGAGTGAAAGGGTCTTTATAATAAACTTTCTCTTGTCTCTTAAAGCAAAACCAATGCAATTTTATACTATATATTTTTTTTTTGCTCAGTTGGAATTGTTTTATATCTCAAGATACATTAACTTCAATTTGCACTTGAAACATACAAGACTAAGGGTAATTTAGCAAAGGGTTATTATGAAAAAAATATTCAATAAATCAGTACTGTTAGAAATTCATATTCATTTACATTGATTCTGAAGTGACGACCTGCTTCCCCAGAAGTAACAGAATCCGACTTTCCCCACAACTTTAATTGTGATTGGTTTAATTTGACCCTTGCTGTTACAGCTCTTGGTGTGATTGTCCACGCAATGACTGTCAGTGTTGTTACAGATCCAAGAGCTTCTTGCACAGCAGGCAAGGAAGCATAGTCACTTGATTTATGACCAAATACTCCTTGATCAAAAAAAGAAGTTACATGGAGACGAATGGGCTGTTTTTCTAAACAAGGCATCGATAATGCATTACATGTAACTTCTGTGAAACCTGAAAAGTTAAGTTTTTCATGTCACAACATGATAACAGTCATCAACATAATTTATATGTAGGAAAATTTATAAAATAATTACGAGTAAGGTACTGTTTCACATTACTTATAATATGAGAAAATATATCAAGCCTAAGTTCTTCTACTGTATTTAAGCATGGGAACAGATGGGATTATAATTTCCCACATCTCCTTCCTTTCTCATGTTCCTCCTAAACAACTGACTCAAGTTTCCAGCCCTTTATAGCACAAAATAAAGTTCAATGATTACTTGACATTTGTTCAGGTTTTTGCATTTTGTGTCCCCCTCCTATACAACTGTGATCAAACTAGCCTTTGATCAAAATGATTTGATGAAAAAGTGTCAGCTATATAATATGCATGTTGGACGATCTACAGTAGTTAAATTTACTAGCTCTTTTCTTCTGTCAGAGTTGATCAACAAACCTTGTAACATTCAGTACCCCTCGAAATTAAGTTGAACAAAACTATGCACACAAAAAAGAGTATAGTGATCAGCATCTGAGGATTTCAACCTCAGATCTACCCATTTCACTGTGTTTCACTGAGATGCTATCTACCAATTGCACCATAGAGAACTTGCTTGCCGTGCTCTTACCAATCAAGACATGCAAGTTGCAAGTAAATAAACTGCACCCATCAATAATATCAACAGCATCAAAAGTCTGACTAATACTAGGCATTCGTCAAAAGTATAGAGAAAAGAAAATTTTTGAGTCACAAGAAAAAATAAACACTTAATTGCCACAAGGGAAGAGGTTAGTGGAATATACAACTACATGTAGATATTGTACCTCTTTATCTTCTCAAAATATAAAATTCTAATCAAGATACCTTGAGCATCTTTATAATTCTTCTTAGCAAGCTGATCTCTGAATGAAGGGATTTTTCCCATGCAGTCTCTCAACACCTGCAGCATGCAGTCTTTCAAAGTCCCTAATTTCTCTTCTGATGGAAACCATCCATAATATATTGCAAACATTTGCTTGAACTTTGACATTAGATCTCTCAGAGTAACTTCAGTTACATCATGGAGGTTCCTCACTGCTAGTTCGGTAATATTGTATTTCCACCATGTTCTGGGTTCCACCAATACCACATGGTAACAAGTATTGTATGCAATAGTGATGTATTTGGACAGCTTCCTGGAGTCAACATTGGTGTTATCTGTTATAGGATTGTAAAAAAAAAAAACTCGTAAATGAAGTTTTTCTAATAGTTTTCTTTCAAAAATGCAACACTTGCAGTATAATTCATGAACTTTCACACAACCAATAACTGTTAAGTTTTGACACACTATGGTAAACTTTAAAGTTTTTCGATTGGCAAAAATTTTAATAATCGCCCTACAATAAATTAAAACTTCTTCTCTTCTCAAAAAAATGAATTACCTTTCTAAGGACTTAAGAGAAGTTAATACGGGGGAAGGAAGGTTATCATTCAACCTTTACAAATCCAAAAATCAACTTTAAAATGGAGAAGTTGCTCACTTCTCAATTCTAATGTCTCATCTCATTTTACCATGCATTGCAGTTCTTCTTACAAGTCCATTTCATGACATGATCACAACTCCTGCCCTCATCACTTACCTATGACAACCACTGGGATCTCATCTTCACAGGCCCTGCTTGCTTTTTCGTTACATTTAATATGTGTTGCTTCATACTCCTCGATTTTCCAAACGTATTGGCCTTGATCATTCAACCTAAAGTCATCTGCACAGCAGATCACAGCCAGATCACCATACACCTGTTTTATATTTCGTGCTATTTCTGATTTTCCACTTCCAGGTAAACCTCTCATTATGAGCATGACTTTAGAATTCATGATAAACTCAATAGTTTTGGTATCTTGTAGAAATGGGAAGTCTAGAGTTTCTCGATCGTAATTATCTTCTTCATTCTGAAATAAAAGTATATTTAGGAATAAAATCTAGAATTAACAAAACATGGCATAAAAAAGTGAAAAACAATAATATGAGATTTGCTCCTTTGTACCCAGGAAGTTATCTTTCACTGAAAGTGAAATCTATGAGTTAAACTTTCGTATGCGTCTTATCTAATTATACGAAATTCACTGATAATCAACGATCACCAAGATTTATAAATTCAGCATTGGTACAGATTCATATTATCAAGTGACCACAAAGACATGATCAGGCAGTAGTCAAACAAAAATGACACACGGTGAAAACACGATAAAATCACGCAAGACGTTCCACACCAAAACAAACAGCGAACACTTTTAAGACGAACCTTTTTTCTGCCATCCCTTTCATATAATATCAAATAAACTGCTGTGGAAAGAAAAGCAATCGAAAAGCTGATCGCTACAAAAACTGCAAAGCTTTTAAGTTTCATTTTCAAATACAGCAGTAGGAAAAACTCGAGTTTCTTTTACTTCCGTGCCGCCATTTGCAATATATCTCCTACATTAAAGGCGAGAGCCGCTGACCAATGGTAAAGGCCATAGCCTCGTTTTGGAAAAACAATTTTGGAATGGAACTACTTGGAGTGGGAAGTTTGGAACAAAAAACGGTTAATATCATTCTGCAGAGCTATAAAGCAACAACTTTTGGCTGCAAGTCAAAAAGCATTCATTTACAGTGAAACAAATATAATTAACTTTGAAATGTCACTAACGAAATCAGAAGAACCAAGATTTTGTCACACTAAAAAGCATGACGACCAGCAGTGAATTTGACAAACCCTTGTAACCATTTAACTGTTTTATTACAGAAGAAAACTAATTGTATTGTACATATCGCGAACATAACTATGTTTCCCATAATCAAGAGATCATAGATAATCCCTTCCCAAAGCTTAGAACTCTTACAGCTCAATGAGCTGGCTACATTCTTTCCTTGTTACGAAGGATGGTTGATCATTTCATGTGTATCTCTGCCAGTATAACTTGCACTTATTGCAAAAAGGAATACATTGTTGAAAAAATGAAGGCGACTAGGCACCGATTCCGCGAACACCTTGCGACGTAGAATGGAGTGACAAAGACGCATCCAGGTCATTTTAAGCGGGATATGGCAGTCTTCGGCCTTTCCTCACATCTAGTCAATTCGGAAAGCCGCAAAACTCTGAAACAAAAACTTATCTTTCAAATCGACGCCCTTAATCCTCACGGTATCAATGAACACCTTTCAAACAATTAATTTATTCTTGTTTTTCTCGTTACCGTGTTTCCACCAAGAGCCTGGCTCCATTTTCTGTAGGCAGTATAAAACGCACAGAACACTCTATTCGCTCTGACGAAGGGCTAAATCTCGAAACGTCAGCTCAATTAAGGAACTCTTTACGGTGTCTACTTTACATTATCAATTCGGTTGATATTACCACTGTATTATCTTGTAATGCCCCCTACCGACACAGCATCACATTTTCCGTTAGAAACCAATCCCCTTTGTTCATTTACGGTTTGTTCAAATGGTTTAGCACCTACCTACAAAAGTTTGCTGTTACATGTCCAAAAGCAAAGGTATGATGTTACATACTTTGAAACCTCTTTATCCACTCAGTTTACATTAATAGATAAGTTACATACTTCATAGAAGAGTAGTCTGACAACGAGCATGTAGCAATCTGTAATGCCACGTATTTTACTTAACTATTTGCAAATTAAGATCGGATTCTGCGTGAAGTCAGTGTCTAAAAAAGTTTATTTTCGTATGAAAGATTTTTTTACTATCAACTCAGGAATTGAAAGATAACCATCGTTTGAAGTCTTCACTCCTTTTCACAGTTCGCACTGAAAGCATTGAGTAGCTGATTCGGTTCTAACGAGAAAAAGACTATACTGATCAAGCTTTTGGGACAAACGCCAGGTAATTTCTTGAACTTGATGGTCACTTATCAGGCTTCATACACACTTCATGACTTCCAAACACACTGTTAACAAAGGTAAATAAGATATTATTAGTTCAACCATTTGAAATCAATAAATTAGTACCATTCGTTATTGATATTATTATGATCATTATTTCATTTTTTAATTGGTTTAGTTAACTGCACTTACCCTTTTTGAACGCATTCGAGCCCAGGCTTACATGGTCCACAGTCAGGCTTTTCTCCTACCCAGATTTTTCGGTACAAAATGGCTGCACACTGATGGTACTCCTCTAATGTTGGCTTACATATTGGCAAGTGGGAGTTGATTGTTGGTTCCAAAACACAACACGCCTCTTTACAATCGCTGTCCTTCTCACAGAATGTGCCTGAAATCAACATATTCAATACGTTAATGTTTGGGAGGAAAAGCTAACTTTGATTGTTATACTTTTAAATTCAAATATACTGCCTCGAGATGAGGGACAGCTATCAGGATGGTAACTATAACAATAACAATGATAAAGATACATATTTATATGACAAAATTTCCCAAAATTTGTTTCTGTAGAAAGGATATCCTCGAGAGTGTAATCGATTAAGCGCCCCCCACGATAATTTTTGATGGATAAAAGGGTTCCGTTCCGTACAGTGTATTTCTGTACAACAACAACAACAACAACATTGACTTTATTTTTTAAAATTAAAGAAATAAAGGCTTTTGTAGCCCGCAGTTAGCAAAGCTATTCTAGGCGGGCTACCTAAACAGACACTGTATAGGCTCTCACACATAGACACACACACACACACAGACGCATTTCTGATTTTGAATCAGCCGTTCTTTTGATCTTTTCAGTTGATAATGGGAAAGGCAAATATTAAGTCTTCACTTTATATTTAATTCTAGCCTCCTTAGTTGTGGTTATCGTAAGCACCACGTCAGTACTGCAAACGGTGTAACCACCAGTTACAAATGTACACGCCTGGGGTTGTCATGCCTCGCAAAAATTTTAAAAAACAACAAAAAGAGAGAGAGCTTTCGAATTTTTGATAAGCTTAAGATCGACGGGGTTTTTACAGTCAAACGCTCGAAACGTCAGCTTCAGAAACTCTTTATGGAGGCCAATTTACATTATTATACATTGTAGTCACCATCTGCCTTCTCATTGGCTAAACGCCCACAGCTAATTCTGGGAAACAGCGCAACCTACAGATTATTCACTAATCTGTACCTACAGATTAAGATTGGTGAATAATCTGTAAGTTGCGCGCGCAATGCATGATTTCCGGTGGAGTAGTGTCAAATTAACGGACAGCGAAGTAAGAATGGCTTATCGATAATGCGTTTGGCGTTATTTCATTTAAAACAATGTATGATAAAACAGTTATTGGATTCGGTTTATGTGGAATCTGGAATAGTCAACGTCTCGATCAGTGTTATCAGCCGAAGCCAAAGGCTGAGGCTGATAACACTTACCTCGACCTTGATTATTCCGGGTATCACAAAAGCCTCATCCAATAATTGTTTATTAATTATAACAGCTCAGCTGAAAAAAAAAATGTCTTGTAATATCCAACGACGCAGCATCACAGTTTCATAAGAAACTTAACCAATTTCAATTTTTTTTCCAATTTTTTTTCTGACCTGGATCCCCTTCCGACTTCTTCTCGCATCTTCCAAAAGTACAGACCAATCCCTTACAACATTGTTCCTTGCTGTTACAACCCACGTTTAGCTTATGACATTTTTCACAGTAGAGCACGTTGCAATACATTCCTTCTTTGCAAGGCTTTTTCTCAGAACACTCAGCTTGGTAATATCCAGGCGCTATCATCTAGAAAAAGACACCACGTAATTAGATTATCATGAAGTGTCTCCTCTCAAGATAAAAGAGTTCTTAAGTAAGGATCCAGCTGTTAGCACTCTAGACACTAAAATCCGTCTTTGCGTTGAGCTATAGGTATTAGTGTAAATCTACTGGCGTTTTATCACAACTGCTGCATTTGATTGGTTGCGTTATCTATTCCGTAATTGGCAGTAAGTAGAGTGAGTGAACTAGAAATGTGCTGTTGTAAAAAAAAAAATTAAATCAGTCTATCTTGTTGCTTAGTTTTGAAAGAATACTAGATTTATGCTAAAAATAATTAAATCATTTGCTCTCGATTTGTATGCACGATGGTTGATTCGCGATCGCGCCTCTCTCTCATCGACTATCACGTGATAGAGATCTTGAGCTCATAATCTAGTTGTTGAAAGCCAGCAATAGAAATCTGGGTTGAACAGGGCCCTTTTTCCCAACATTGAGAGCGTCTTGTATATTCTTCTCTCTCTTCTGTGGTTTTCATGAGTTAGCGAATTGGCGATATCAGAAGTAAGCCCTGACGACTGGCATTACTGGCATAAAATATAGTGGGACTTGTCACAGTCAGAAAAATCCGTAACCTACTTGTCGTCTTCTTATTTCTTGCATTAACCTCCCATTGTGTGACCTTCCGTGTATGATTTCATTCCGGTGTAGTCCCATTACAGATCGATGAATTTCCATTTTCGCAGTATTTTTACGGCCGAATGACTTGCTAGCATATTTCTCGTGATTCCTTTTTTGGTCGATATTCATTTTCCTATTTTTTTCAGATCCACTGGACTTTGCTCTTCGGGGTATTAGCCCTTTCGTTTTTCCTTGTTTTCCAAGTGAAAAACAAGTCTGGAGTAAACATCCAAACAATAACAAGAAAGCTTTGGGTTTCTTCGTAAACATTGCGCTTTTGATTCAATGGTTAGCTACGGTTAGGTGCAGAGATATCATACCAAATGGTTCCACTTCACCAATATATCCTGGCGATACATGCAACTGACGTTTTCACTGGACGTGATCCACTCTTTTCAGTGTTTAAAATTCATACTTTAAGCTAAAATCTTCGATAGAGAAATTCATGCATGTGTTTAGGCCAGAATATTGTCTTCTTTAATAATTTATTGTCTTAACAACGGGTACGTTATTTACCAGTACACTTGAAAGATGAAACAGCCAGCAGATATGCGAAGCTAACTGACAAGACCATCTTGTACAGACTAGAATACCAGCAGCTAAAATATTTACCGATTGCGGTCATTTCAAAATATTAATAATCGAGATATTGAAAAAGAATGGCAACTGTAGGAGGGTAATCGAGTTTAAATCGCCTGTGAAAAGTCTGGATGGCAACTATCCTCGAATCGTGGCTGTAAATTTCTTTACAGCTGGCTGATCTTAAGACAGCGTGGTTGGCGAACCGTGCTCGTTAACAACTGCCGTATTTCCTCGACTAAGCGTAAGGGCTTTTTTTTTTTTAAATTTTGGCAAAAAGGTGGGGGGGGTGTGTTATTGGAGGGCGCTAAATCGAGGGGGGCCGCTTTTTATTTTCCAGTACTGCTGAAGCCTAAATAAAGTGGCAATATGAACAGATTTTCTTTTTCCTTACATGGGGAGGAGATTCC